CGTAGCCTCCTGACTAGTGGCCCTGCTTCTTTTCTTGCCTCCCCACAATCTGTTTTGCCTGCAGTACCCAGAATGATCCTTTAAAGACATAACTGAGGTCATGTCCTCAATATTGTATCCCACTCAAATGCTACCCAGGGTTGATGGGTATGCGTCATTCATGTGTAATGCCACCTGCTATGGGCTATCCAGAGGGGGAAAAGGGTCCACTGGAGTATATTGAGGGCTTGGAACTGATGACAGGAGACTAGACTTGGAGAACAGACAGGAAGCATCTCTGGCAGGAACGACCCAGACAGAACAAGCCAGGTGGCCCCCATTGCCACTGAGAGGAAGCCTGATTTTCTTCCCCACTTTGGGCAATTGGACTCCCAGTCCAGGACAAGAGTGAGCAGTTGACCAAGTCGCCAAGATGTGTGCAGATCCTAGCCATGAGAGAGACAGAGACGGACATGGAGAATCTGGCCCTTCTGTCTTTCCTGTCTGCTCCGAATGGGAGCAGGGGTGTTCACTAAGAGTCAAACCATGATAAATGTCCACACATGGCTTTGGGGCTTTGTGTGATCCTGTCCCCTGCCCCCAGGGCATGTATGCCATGCAGACCTGTCGGTTTCCAGACATGACCCAACTCTCTCCTGCTTCTGCAGTCAGGACAGGACTGACAGGCAGAGGAGCAGGCCCCATGGCCCTTGCTGCCTGAGTCCTCTTGTTTGCTCTGATCTTCCCGCAGCAGAGGTGGCAGGGCTGACCCTATCTCTGCATGACCCAGTTGGCTATGGGAATGACCCTAATCCAGCCTTTGAGGCCATCACCTGTGTAGACCCCGAGTGTCATCAGGGTCACTCAGGGCTCTAGGTTGCTCCCTCATGGGACCGTCCTCTAGTGCCAGCTACAATATCCCCACCCCGTCCTGATATGCAGAGGGGGGCTCTTCTTCCAGATGCAAGGTTTGTCCTCAGCAGATGCGGAAATCCTGTCCCTGTTGTCCCAGCTCCCACACATTCCCCTCCCGCCTCCCACCACCTCCTTTAGCACCTACAGCTGCAAAATTTCAGTGTCGAGCATAAAAGACAGGTGCTTGTCTTTGGCTTTATTCTTTTAAGAAGAAAAACAATGAAGAGACAAACCCCAGGAAATCAAGCAAGAGGGGGAAAACCAACCCTGTGTTCGGGGAAATGTTAAATCAGCGAATTGAACTGCGGAGATGAAAGAGGGAGGCCGGGTGGAGCCTGTCATACCCGCGCTGTGACAGTGACAGTGCGGTGGGAGACGCAGGCCCAGCAGGAAGGGGGCTGCCAGGCTGGGAGGCTGACGTCAGCACCCCCTCCTGCTGGCCCCTGAACTTCCCCCTCCAGGGCTCCCCTTCCACTCTCCTCTGGCCTGGGCTCAGGTCTCTCCCTCTCCAGTACGTGCAGTTCAGCCATGTTGCTGGAGGACAGAACTCCCTGATGGTGGCCTCCTTGGACCTCAGCTCCTGGAGGGGAGGCCGCCCTCTGGTTCCCCTTCCCTCAAGTTTAGCCCTCAAGGAGCCACATTCCTGTTTCCCAGGGCCCCGTGTTCAGTGCCACAGTCGCTGGCCTATGACCTTGGGCCAGCTAGTCAGCATCTTAAGAATTCAGGGCACAGAAGGGGAGAGAAAGAGGTGACTGGGGGTCTGTGAAGAGGGGCCTTCAGGTGTAACTACTCACTGCCAGGCTACGAGGTGGCTATGATGGAGGAACAGAGAACGTGGAGGGGAGAAAAGCAACCCGGAGCGGCAGCCATGGAGGCCAGCAGGCTGGTGGGGGAGGGGAGGCTGGGCGCCCTCCCCTGTTCCTGACCCCTCTAGTACAGCCTCGAGGGGTCATGCAAGCCCTGGGGGTGGCAGCTGTGAACTGGAGGGTGAAGGAATACCTGCTGCCCACTCTGTGGTCAGTGCTGCCTTGCCCAGGCTGTGTGGTCCCCTGGTGAGCTGTCTTATCCCTGGGCAGCATCTGCCCTGGTGGTCTGTTCAGAGCCGGTCTCTGCAGGGACCTGGCCTCACTAAGCTAGTGGACAGTCGTTTAGGACAAAGTGAGGCCTTCTCCTCGGGACTGCACAGACAACTGGGCCTGCCATCATGAGCTTTGAGGAAAAGCAGTGCAGGACGATGGGATGCCCTGTACAGACCTGAAAGCCCAGCGACTGGGGGCAAGGGGACCAGGCTCTTCTTTCAGGAGTGCCTTTCCTTGAGAGCTGACCGCAGGACAGCCGCAGAGCCAGCCCCCTTCTCCTCCAGCTTCCTGATGCTCTGGCTTTCCTGAGTACCCTTGACTGAGGGGTGATTGTTCCAGGGACTCAGCAGGGGAATTTTTCTGCCCTTGGGGAAAAGGGAAATATGTCCACGTCCATTTGTTTAGATTATTCAGCCCTCCAAGTTCCAAAGCTGCATGATTGAGTGCCCCAGCGTGGCCAGGGAGCTGGGACTGTTAGCACAGTGCACAGGTCCCAGAGGGCCTCCAGGTGGCTGCAGGAGGGAATCTGGGGGCTTGCAACTAAGCACCCCGGTCTCAAGGCCCTGAGAGCAATGTCCCTTTCACTGCAGCTTGAAGGGACATAGGAGAAGGAATGTCACCGCCGGGCCCAGTTGCTTGGTAATCAACCATTCTCAGTGCCCTGCACGGAAAGGCAATTAGAGCCAGAATTAAAAAGCCATCACATCATTTAAAATCCAATAACATGGCTGGCCTGAAATGTGTCCTCAGTCCCTGGGGAGAGTGGAGGTGGGCATGGGGAGGTGCCGAGGGCAGAGGAATGTGTCCGGGAGGGAAGAGAAAGAGAGGGAGAAGAGGGTAGCTTGGTCAAGGAGAAAGTTTCTGGGGCTCTTGTGGCTTCTGGCCACACGGCCAACCTGCTCCTTTAGTCCCTCTGGAAGTCTGCCGTGGCTCTGGCCTTGAAGTCCTCCAGCTTTCTGCCCATGCTAAGTGCCACCTTGTGGAATTCAGCATCGATTCCTGGCAGGTCGTCTTTCCTTGTCAGCCAGAGCAGGTGCTCCTGCAGGAACAGGCTGTGCTCCCTTATCAGTCCACACACACACACACACACACACACACACAGCAGTGCCTAGCACGTAGCTGAATGCTGGGCAGCTGACATTAGCTAGCTGCTCTCTGGTGGGATCTTTGGCCACGGCGTTTACCCACCACCCTGAACTAAACATCATCCCACTCTCACCCCCCACGGCCTCCCCTCAACTTAGCAAGGTCATCCCCCAAAACAACAATAAAACTCAAGATCCTCGCAAGTGCCAATTAACCACAAAGCCAGTCTGACCATTCCCCCCTTTGCTTCGGGAGGGTCTAAAGAGGACCTCTGCACACCCCTAGGTGTCAAACTCTGCCTTTGCTTCTCACTCCTAAGTGAGTCAGAGAATTTCTAATCTACTGAGATGATGTTAACCCTTTTCACATCAAATAAAGCCCTTCTGCAGGTAATCTTCCTGTCATGAGCTGGCTGCCTTGATGTGACTTGGAAGTGAGAGGGGATCCTCTGTTCCCTTTCATTTGCCGTCCTTCTTAGTAAAATCTTAAACTGGGAGGATTCAGGTTTGATGGGAGCTCTTCTTGCAATTTATGCCTCCTGTCCCTCAGGGGATTACACGTGTCTATTTTAAATAAATTCCCTCTTTTTTCTCTCCTTTTTGCAAAGAACAACTGCAAATCTTCTCTGAGAACAGCTTTTCTTTGGGATAGAATTCAGTTCTGACAGTCAAACTTCTACAGATGAGGCCCTGAGTGAATAATGATTAAAGGAATTATCTCTGTGATGGGGTCTTGCCTGAGATCTGGAGATGTTCTCTCAAAGTCCTGCAATGTTTCCCAATACTCTGATTGCTCTTTCTAGAAAAATCTTATTCTAAGAAGTAGAGAAGGAAAAAAAAGGGGGGGTGGAACGAGTGGGGATGGATGCTATTCAGGAAGGGAAGGTGAACCCTAAGGCCCCTGTCTTCAGAACTGCCCTGGACATCTCCTTCTTGCTTCAGATCTAGAGCAGCTGACACTTGCCACTACCTGGACCACTCTCCCCAGTGCCATCCTGCCTGCATCCTGGATGCTGTGGTGTGAACACAGGATAGTGCCTCGCTCACTCCAGGATCCTGCCTGAGATTTTTAGGACCTGGCCATTGGGTGCCCACTTCAGCAGCATGTAGCACCCAAGCAACCACAGGATCAGGAACAGAGGAGCATGCTGGCTTATGGTGGCAGAACAGGTCTCTGTGCAGCTGGACATCAATACACCGATGAAAGGGTTGGAGCCTGAGCGCCCACCCCCCCTCAAGGGAACCGGAACTGTGAATGGTCTCTGATACCTGACCAGCAAACAATCCCCACTCCATTCCCGGGTGAGCTCACCCTCCTCCCCAGACCCCACACCTCCCCAGACCTCACCTGGTCTTGCAGCCCCAGCCCTGCAGTGCAGGGGAAACAGGATCCTCCCTCTTTCCCTGCCACTTGCCTCTGTGTGACTGCCACCCACAGCTGTCAACGGAATCGGCTGCACTGGGCCTGCTGTTTCCATTTGCAGCCGCTGGCAGCCCCCCAAATCCTACAGCCATCAGCCCAGCAGCTGTGGGGAAGTCAACCGCTGAAGTTCACTGGTGCAATGGAAGAAAACGTTTGGACAGCCCGCGCCTCTTACCCGAGTCTACCCCGGATTAGGCTGACATTTGAAGCGAATTTGGCTCCCATCCACCCGGCACACACTCTCTACCGAGACTCCTTCCTTCTTAAACATGAAAGTTCAAACTTTTCTCATCCAGGGACTGCCTTAATCATTTATGAAAACATGCCAGGATCCCTGTTCTAGCGCCTGGTGCCCTCGATCAAGGAGGCAGGAGCTGCCTGCCCCAAAGGACGTAAAGAGAAAGGAGAGCCTTGGCTTATAAGAGGCCAAGCTTTCCTTATAATTAATGCGTCACTTTCCAAGCCATCTGCTCTCTCTTCAAACCTATCCATCATCTCCATAAAAAGTATAAACACATATACATTTAAAATCCAATTCAAAAGAGCTGGTATCACAAGCACAATTCACAGAAAGTTCAGGAAAAACAAACCCCAGTGGACATCTAAACCACAGACCCTGCTCTTAGTACCCATCCCCTGTCCTTGGGAAAAACAGTTATGTGGCCTCCTCTTGAAGTTTTATGGCAGCCGCTTTTGTGATAAACCTCCATAAATATAAAGGGAACCCAGAAGCAAGTTGGCAACTGGGACATTTCGAGGAGTATTTTAACCACCCGGAGAAATATTGACCAGGAAATCGGCAGGGATGCTATTGTAAAACTCAGCTGAGTCCCCAAGTCCCCTGCACGCTGTCAATAGTCCATGAGGCTGAACCAAAAAGGAATGCATTTTATCGGATTGTTTCGGGTCCAGGTTGTCGTTGTACATTGAGTGGACGCCACAGGAAATCGGAGATGCAGGAATGTTAATTTGGGTAGCAGATGTAACACACAAACAAGCAGCTCTGCAAATTGGAAATTAATTCTGGATGGACCCGCTCTGTGTCTGTTTTCCTCTCCATTTGCACCATGTCTGTATCATGGGGTCCTGGACGTATGGTTTCTGCTGTGTATCATTTCTCAGCAAATCATCTGTGAGTTTAAAAAAAAAAAGACCCTGAGCCATAGAAGGAAAAGAATAAAAATACCCCACAGGTCACCAAAGCCCGTGTCCCCTGGGGCACCGTCCTTGCCCAAAATACATCTCTCAGTGTTTTGCTTGACCCAGTTTGAAATGCCATCAACTCATGAGTCCAGTTGCACACCTCCGGCTCTGTGGGGAACGTCAGGGACTTTAAACACTAGGGCTTAACCACTCTCTGCTCCTCCCCCGGCTCCTGCGTCAGGTTCTTCGTCCCTCCTTGTACTTTGCCTAACACGGGCCACGCACATTTCTTACCAGGACTCTGAGCAAGGCAACCTTTTGCCACCTACCATTTTTCATTTTTATGCCTTCAGCTTTGGCACTTCCAGCAATCCCCAGGCTAATCTGGTCCATCTGAACCCTGCCTTCCTCTAGCTCCTGGCCTCTGCCTCTTTAAGGGAACCATCTAGAAAACAAGGCAGTGTTTGAGTCATCCCACCTCCCCCAGGTCCCCTCCTCCCCCACAGCTTTCCTTCTCTGTCAGCCCCTCTCTCCCACCCACATCCTCCATCTTGTGCCCCCGGGGCCTTGGTGACACAGTCCGGCAGTTCACCTGGCCATTTCCAGCCCAGACTTCTAACCTCCCCGGCCTTCCTGTGTTAGGTCTCTGTCCTCCCTGACGTTGGCTACATCTCCCAATTTAGTATCATCTGCAAATTTAATTAACATGCCGTCGCCTCCTTGTTCCAGGCCATTAATGAAGATGTTATGGCAGCACCCGGCAAACAATATTTCCAAGGTCACGAGGAGATGGGAGCTGAACTGCTAATGCTTGTGGTTGGAGCCATTTCCTCCGAGTTTTGGGAACTTCCTTTCTCGGACTGCAGGTTCTTGCACCTCCCGCAGCCTCAGCTGCTGCACATCTGTGGCGGTTCTCATTTGGAAAATGAAGAACAGGAGACTATGCCTTCTTTTTATTCTCGTCCAGTTTGTAGCAGGAGAAACAGGCATTAATTATTTTAGGCAGAGACAATGTACACAGTAAAGATGAGCAGCCATCACCGGTTACCCAGCCTAGTCTCCCTCTCCAAGGCAGAAACCACCACCTCGGGAAATGCCCAGCGGGGACCAGGGTGTCTGATAGAGAGGCAGAGACGACAGGTTCCTAGGTGGCAGACCCCAAGGGCTCAGCCCATAGTGAGGGGAGCAGAGTTCGCTTCACCCCAGCGGCTCATGCTGCTCACACTTAGTGGCCCAGGAGCAGGTCCCGAGCCCCAATGAGCCCACATTCTCCTCTTGCCTCACAGTGAGCTCCTTGTGAACCCCAATTTGCCTGCTTTCCTCACCAAACCACAGATATCACACTGCAGTACAGCAAATTACTTGGATCTGAAATACTGAATCATGGGAGATTCAGCACTATCCACGATAATGTATTCATGCTCAAAAAACTGATCCCAGGTTATTTAGTGTTTCCAGCACTTCCCTTCTCCCCGAACCTCACCATAGGCCCATCTCAGAGTTCGAGGCTCCTAGGCCTCTCTCAGACAGAAGGTCTGGAAGGTATCCCTGGCCCAGAACCCAAACTGGCCTTGCAGAGACAGGGTGCAGATCTCAGAGCCCTGGTGTGCATGGGCCTCAGGAAATGGCCTGGACTTTCTCCTGTGCTGCACAAATAGGCCTGGCCCACCACCGGTCCTCCCTCGAGCCCAAGCCCAACTTCTCCAAGCCGAAGCACACACAGGAACAATTGCCCTTGGCTGGTTGGGCAGCTCGGACTGTGGCGCACTCAGACGCCTTAGGCTGCTCAGGAAGACAGCAGCAGGTTTGGGGAACTCACCTGGGGCCACTGTGTATCTTCCCCGGCTGTACACCTGGATGTGGTCAACTCCCCAGAGCTGAGAAGCTGAAAAGCAGGGGTTAAAACCTGAATTCAGAAGCCAGATACCCTGAGTTGGAATCCTGGTGCTGCCATTGGCATAGCTGTGTGACTTTGGGCTGGTTGTTTCACCTCAGCTTTCCCATGTGTGAAATGGGACGATAACCATACCGACCTCTTGTGAGATTTTAAAAAGCTGACTAATGTCTGGCAGTTGTTTATTATATACTCCAGTTGCTGTTGAGGTCAGGAACCAGCAATGTTTTCTATAAATATCCAGATACTAAATATTTTTGGCCTTGTGGGCCATGAGGTCTCTGTCATGTGACCCAACTCTGAGGTTGTGGTCCTATAGATAATGCATCACTGAACTCGAGAGTGGATGTGCCCCATGAAAACTACTTACAAACTTGAAAATTAAATTCAATGTGTCTTAATATTATTTGGATTTTTTAATTATTAAAAAATGTAGGGCTGGGGTTGTAGCTCAGTGGTAGAGCATTCGCCTCGCATGTGTGAGGCCCTGGGCTCGATCCTCAGCACCACATAAAAATAAATAAAATAAAGGTATGGCGTTCAACTACAACTAAAAAATAAATTTTTAAAAAAGTGTAAAAAATTATTGCTAGCTCACAGGCTGTATAAAAAAGGTGGCAGCTCTGGTCTAGGTGTGAGAGACGCAGGTGTTATTGCACCCCACCCTAACAACCCACAGTACCTGTGGAGCCCCCCACCTCCCCAGCCCATGACAGTGACCTCATCTTAAGAGCCCCTCTTGAAACTGGGGCAGTGAGACCCCCATCAGGCAGATTAAGGGGCTCAGCTCTACCAGGGCATTCAGAGTTCTAATTCCTCAAGATAAATCCCAGAGATTCCAGAGATTTCCTTGCACATCCGCCAACTCTGCCAGCCCAGCGTGCTGGAGGAGGTCTGACTGGAGATGCAGAGTAGATGGCCGCGCACAGAGACCCTGCTGGCAGGAAGCAAGCCGCCAGCCTCCGCCATCTGTTTCCATTAAGCTTCGCTGAGTGGGGAATTTAGAGGTTATCTGTGTTGGGTTTGAAGCACTGTGAACATTTGTTTCTTTCTGAAGGGAAAAGCCAGAAGACTGAGAGGGCAGAAGTTCTTGGGCATGAAGCAAGCCCCATCTGGAGGTTTGAGGCAGCCCCTCGGGAGCTGCTGACGGCCAGCATGGTGGCCCTGGGGAAGTGGCCACAGCCCACCTGAGCCTCGGGATTCCACACCCAGACCGTTCCCCACCTCAGCCTTTCCCAGCTCCAAAGCCTTCACCCATCTCGAGTGGCCTCCAGCATGACGCTTTCATTACAGATGCTTCAAGATACTCTAAGGACCCCAGGATCCCTCCATCAAATCCTTCTGCTTGGTTCCTCAGGGCCCCACCCTTGACCTGGCTGAGGGCTCCCAGCCCACACAGGGGACCTCCTGTGCAGCTCCCACCCTCTGTGAGATCCTCCCACCTGTGCATGCCCTGCATCCCCCACCCTACCCTGTGCCACACCTGGCCACACCCAGCCTTGACCCGTATATGAAGTGACTTTGCAGCAGGGTCACAGAGGGGCTATTTCACTGTGCCTCAGTTTCCTTATCTGTGAAATGGGGAAACGAGAGCACAACCTCATGGGGTTGCTGATTTTAATTAGAACATGTCTGTCAAGCACTCCCTGAATAATACCGTGTTCTGGGAATGACACTGGCCGGCAGCAGCAGCAAGTGGGGTTCCCTGGGTCACAGTCACCCCTTCCCTCTTCGAATCTCTACCCTTACTGTGTGAACTACACAATGACCACAAGACATTTCTTGCCTGGGTGTCGGGCCACCCCAGTACTGCAAACATCCAGAGCCTCTGTGCCCCCACCCCTCTATGTCACCTTTGCTCCCTGGTGGAGTCTGGCCCTGCACAGGCCTGGGTCTGGACTCAGCCATCTTCATTAATTGATTGAAACCCCCAACACACACACACACACACACACACACACACACACCTACCTTTCTTTCATGAGGGGATTGGGGAGGAAGACCAAAAAGAAGTTATTTCTGATACATCGCTCTGACAAGCTGACAGAGAATCTGATCAGTGAAAAGCTGGCCCGGGGATGCTCAAAACACCACATATTTAAGGGGGGAACAAAAAGACTTTTGATAAAATGGCCCTCTGAGTGGCACTGAGTTTTAAGTGGACCCACGAGTGCCACCTGGACGTGGCTGGCTTCCACAGAACCCTGGCTGACCAAAGAGGCCTTCCAGGAAACCCCCAGAAGCCCAGGGCATGGCGGGCCCTGCCCATGGTTTCCATGAGCCTCAAGAATCCAGCTCCCCACCCAGAGCCCCCAACGGTGTGGGCAAAGGTTAATGGGCCCCAAGGGGAAGAAGGGAGGTATATAAGGGCCCATCAGACTAGTGGGACACCAGAGGACAAGCCGAGACCCCTCCAGCCTCCATCAGACCTCGCTGGTGAGTAGCCACAAGAGGAAGAGGGCGGGACTTGCCAACACAGAGGTTCCAGCTGGAGCCAGCTCCATGCAGGGCTGTGGGGGAGCTGACCCAGCCCTGTGTCCCTCTGCCACCTTCAGAGGCCTAGCTGGGTTCAGAGGGAAAGCCCTGCACTGACTCCCAAGGGAATGTGTTAAAGTCCCCCATGGGGGCAGCCGCAGGGCTGAGGCTGGGGGCTGGAGAGAGGCAGCCAGGGCAGCTCCGAGCAGATCCACAGCAGCCCAGAAACCCAAGCCCAAGCTCGGCAGGGACCCAGGCTCCTCTTGGCGTGGCAGCTTAGCTCTGGAAAGTTAAGAACAATCTAGTCCCAAGGGAGACCCTACAGCTAAGCAAGACAGGCTTGGCTGGGGACAGCAGCTGTCCAGGGAGGGGGACGGTCCCCTTCATCCAGCGCAGAGCCTTGAAAGCAGAAGCCCATCCCTGCGGTGGGGGAGGGGATTCCCGCTCTGTCCAGCTCCCCCTCCCAGCCGCCAACGCAAGTGAACGCAGCTGACGTGCCGCTGCCAGTGGCTCAAGAAAATGAGCTGCAATTGGATTTTGCCTTTTTTTATTTAAAGTTTTTATTGATTCTTATGGAGTGAATTAAATGTGAACAGCAGAATGGAAAGGGATCTAAGCACCTCTGTGAAGGAAATGGGACCCACAAATGTGACACATCCGTCTCTGCTGGGAGGGAAAACAGGGCCCTGGGGACTCCAGGGGGGGGAAGATAGGAAGGAGGGGCAGGCGATGGGGGCTCCGCCACTCCCACCATCCTCAGAGCAGCTCTTGTCTCCAGGCCCCTGAGCAGCCTGGGCTTTCCCAGAGGTGACCTTCCATGGGTCGCCGTCCTCCCCAACCTATTGGGAATTCATATGCACCTAGGTTGGAGGCTCGGGTGTTTGAGTGCTTGCGTTCTTGCTCGTGGTATTAAAATGGAAAGGAGGAAGAAAGCAGGGCTGGGTGTGGTGGCACAGGCCTGTAATCCCAGCAGCCCCGGAGGCCGAGGCAGAAGGGTCACAAGTTCAAAGCCAGCCTCAGAGACTTAGCAAGGCCCTAAGCGACTCAGTGAGATCCTGTGTCTAAATACAAATATAAAGGGCTGGGGATGTGGCCCCGTGGTTAAGCACCCCTGGGTTCAATCCCCGGTACCAAAAGAAGAGAAAGGAAAGTAGGGAGGAGGAGGCAGAGGGTGGGCGAGGAAGGCAGCAGGGATGGCAAGAAGGCAGAGGGGGTGCTGCTGGGGGGAGGCTACATGTGCCCGGCTGTGCCACCCAGGTCCAGGACCATTCTGACCCCTTTCGAACTCTCGCACCTGCAGTCCCACACCCACCTGCTCCCTGGCAGCACCGGGGTCCCCTGCAGCCTGCCTTCCTGCCAGCCACTCCAGGCATACCCACTTCCAGGACTCCCCACCGCCCTCTCGGCATCCCGGGGTATGGCAGCTTGCAGAGAGAAGGCCCTCACACTGTTGCTTCTGGACGGTGGCCACCAGGCAGCCAGATGCCCCGGAGCTGGGGAGGGACGAGTTCCAATGCTCATCCCACTGAGCTCCTTTTATCCACCTGGCTCTTACTCTGCCTGGGTGAAGGTCTCGGCCTTTTCTCCTGTGCACCTGGGGTCGTGGCCAGAGGCTTCCAGGTAGAGCTGCAGTTGATGAGCCTGGATCGTCTCTAACCGTCCCAAGGAGTGCCGCCTGGGTTCTGTTGATAATCTAGGAGTTCTTTCTTTGAGCAATGAGGTCCCTCCTGCCTCACAAGGAGACCAGCTGACCCCAGAAGACCTCACCTAACCAAGGGAAGGGCTGCATGGTGTATGGCACAGGCTGGGTGGCCTTTCCCAGGAGCTTGGTCAGCGGCCACCACTCTGGGGCAGGGAGGGTACCCTGAGTTCATCTGGGAAAGCTTGGGTTCAGAGAGGCCAACCACTTGCTCAGGGTCACACAGCTGGCGTGTGGACCAAAACAGATTAGCAGTCTATCACCGTGCCCTAAATCTAGTGACAGGAGCCCCTTGTCCCTGGCCAGCTCCGGGATGGTGTCCTGCAAGGCCATGGCTGCCCTGCTGGTGGTACACGCAGCCACCATGCTGGCCTCCCAGACAGAAGCCTTTATGCCCATCTTCACCTACAGTGACCTCCAGAGGATGCAGGTAAGGAGCCCTGTGGGCGGGTAACATGGCTGCACCAGTCCCTGAGTGGCCCAGGCTGAATCAGGGCTGGCATCTCTGAAGCAAGCTCTCCACCATCAGCTACCTATGCCAGGGCCACCAAGCAGAGTGTCAGGACCAGAGAACCTGAAGTCCCTCCATGTCAGTGGCTCGCTGGGTGACACCTTTCCCATCTCTGCCTGTCGTTCAGACCGAGTTTTCAATTAACAATCCAATTACTATTTCCTGGGCCTCTCTGTGCCAGGGGCTGCCCTGGTGAGGGGCCTGATCATGCAGGAAACCTAAGCCCCATCCCTGCTTTCATGGAGCAGACTGGGAGCTGGGACCCAAACCACAAATCACAGAAAATTAACAGTCGAAGGCAAAGAGGGATCACGAGGTGAGAGGAGATGAATTGTCCCCCAATTGTCTGGAGTCTGTATGGCATTTGACTCCCTGTAACCAAGAAAGGAAGAAATGGGACTTTTGTGCCCCAGCCTGAGACCAAAGCCCCAGCAGGGCCAGGTGTCTGTTAGTTCTGTAGGGGTCTCATGGCTCTGTGGCACGGCCTGTCCCTGCCTACACACCATGTGGGACAGGTCTCCACACTCCCAAGGAATGGGGCCCTTTGCAGAGACCTGGCTGAACCCAGCTGCCCCCACCAGGGCAGATGCCCCCCCCACAGACCTTCCTCCCACACCCGCCAGCTGCTCACTCTCCCCAGAGGACAACCCATCTCCTCGAATCACCCCCTCAGCAGGTGCATAGCAGAATCCCAAGAGTGCCATTAGAGACACCAGAGGAGTGGGGTGTGTCTGATCTCAGTCCTGGGGACCTGGTACTCAGCGTGCCAGGTAAGATTTGGGGTTGGATAGAAATAGACAAACTCGGTGGAACACAAGTTAGCAAATTGGTAACCAAAGGACGCGACGTATTCATCCATTGCACAGTTTCCCTTCCCGTAATTGCCAGGCGCTGGGATTTTTATGAAGAAGCTGCAAACTCCTTCTTCCATAATTCATCTCCCTGTCTTGCCTCTTATAAATCACTTCCCAGGGACTCTGAGTTCTGGGCCACCCCATGGCGCCCTCACAGGCTGGGCTGTCTTGCTACCTTTTATATAGGCTCTCGGCTACGAAAGACACATTTTCACACTTAATATGCACCGAGGGCGGCCGTTATTCTCAGCGTTTTAACTTAATTAACAGTAACAATCTGGGTGCAGTGTTTTGACCGCAAAGGAGTGCGCTCCCCTTGGAGCCGGGCTGTGGGCGAGCAGTTCCAAGGGCGGTCCTCAGCCTCAGGTACCTGCGACTGCTCAAGCAGGAGACACCTGGTGACAAGGTTCTCTTGTCCTTGGGAGTTCAGGCCAGTGCTGAGCGACTGGAGATGGGCAGGGGGCCTCTGGTGGGTTGAGGGAGGGCAGTTATGTGCAACGTAATGCTGTGCCCCTAGGAAAAGGAACGGAACAAAGGACAAAAGAAATCCCTGAGCGTGTGGCAGAGGTCTGAGGAGGAAGGTCCCCGAGACCCCGAGGAGACCTCAGAGGAGGAAGAAAACAAAATGATCAAGGTAAGAAAACAGCGAAGAGAAACTGAGCCCCGTGGAGGCAGGGCCCACTAACCTCAGCCAGCCCTGGAATGTTCTAGGACATCCAAGCAACAAGCTCCATCCTGGTAGAGGGACACAGCCACCACCAACGAGACAAATTAATCATTTTAGGCACCAAGGAAGAGTGTATGGTTGGGAGTGGCTGGGGGCAGTCTGGGGCACTGCCTTGTGCAGGGGAGGGGCAGGGAAGGCCTCTTGGAGGAGGTGACATCTATTTCAAACCTGATGAAGAGAAGGAGCCACCCAGGCAGAGTTGAAGCAAAGGATTTTGGGAAAGAGCAGCAGTGCACAGGCCCCGCTCAGGAGCATTGTTGGCCCTCGGCCTCATGGCTGGGCTTACGGAAGAGCAAGAGGTGCGGGGGACAGCTCAGGCAGGGCCTAGTGCAATTGGGGTTCAAAGCAGCAACCTGACCAACTTAGAAAGATCTAGGGCAGCGCAAATGGAGACCATCAAGAGGCAGCTGCATCCCCAGGAGAGAGATCTTGAGGGCAGCCGTTCCCTCCCTCCCCTCCTAGGCAGGAACAGGAGCTGGCCAGGGCCTGGGACCCTGGGAGGCAGGGACTGTCCGGCCTGCAGGGGGCCTTGAACTGCCGGCCCAGACAGCTCTCCAGCTTCCAAGACCCCTTCATTCAGGCAATGAACAAATACATTTTACAGTGTGCAAGGCACTGGGGACAGAGTAGAGAGCAGAGCAGACGGTAACCCCCACCCTTGTGGAGAAGGAAAAGGTACTGAAAGGAAACACCACAAACAAGATAAATAAACACTGTAACATGGTCGGTATCAGTAGGCGCTATATGGAGGAAGATGGACCAGGACGAGGAGGCGAGGCGAGTTGCAATTTTAAATAGGGGGGCAGAGCAGGCTTCATGAATAGATGGTATTAGTGCAAAGACTTAAAGAGAAGGTGCAGTGGGCCTTGGGGATGTCTGGGAGAGGAGCTGTCCAAACAAAAGAATCCTCAATGCAAAGGTCCTGGGGCAGAGGAGGACCTGGTGCATTCAGGAAGAGCAAGGAGGCTGACTCGGCGTTGTTTAGACTGAGTTCACTCCACTGAGGTAGGAGCCCTTGGGGACCTTTGAAGAGAGAAGGGGCATAATCTGATTTACACTTTAAAGGGTTTTCCCAAGCTGCTATGTTGAGAACTGAGGGTGCAAAGGCAGAACTAGGAGAGACCACCAAGAAGGCAGGAGGGGGATGAGAGAGCCCAAACTGGAGGGAGGTCACGGTAGAGGGAGGACAAAGTGGCTGAATTTTGGAAATATTTTAGAGATAGAAGCCCATGGGATTTTCTGAAAGAATGGATATGGAATATGAAGAAAGAGAAACATAAAAACCAACTTCAAGGTTTGTGGCCAGAACAGCTAGAAGGGCAGATTTGCTACTAACTAAGAGAGCAAAGCCTCTGTTGGCTGAGAGCGGGAGATAGAAGATCAGGAGGTCAGGCTGGACCTGGGAACTGTAGTTGCTGCTGGCATCCAGGTGGAGATGTTGCACAGGCAGGTGGACGTGCAAGTCTGGATTCAAGAGCAAGGTTAGGACTGGAGATGTAAGCGTGGGAGTCACCAGGGAGCAGATGGAATCCCAAACCAGAGAGGGTGAGGGTCTTGCTGGGCCACACAGGAGTGGGGCAGAGTGAGCCAGGCTCCTCACCTCACACCTCCCTCTGGACGAGGCCCAGGGAGCTTTCCAGTTCTGACTGGCGTGTGGCCCAGAGAAGGACCTCCACATTCTCACTGCACTCAGCAGGGTGGGACTCCTCTTCTCCCTGCACTCACCACAGTCACGGTCACGGAGGGGACAGGGTGAGTCAGGCCGCTGGCAGGGACCAGGGGCACCTCTGAATGGCCTCTAACTTCGCCTGAGCCATAGAACACATACAGCCAACGGATGTCCCTCCTGGGGAGGCGTGGGGTAAGGACCCCCCCCCCACACACACACACACCCCTTTTTGTCTCCTGACATCCATGCTACTCGGGGCTGGGAGGTCCTTCCCGGGCTACAGTACAACCTCCTCATCTTGGAGGAAGGACCACAGAGACACTCCTCAGGAACCTCAGCCCTGAGGGCCTGCTCTTTCCCACACCCCAGGAGACTGGGCCACTCTCCCCGGAGAAACCAGGGATCTCATGTCTGTGAGCTGCTTTGTGCAGCAAAACCATTAACCCAGGAAGTGCAGGGGGTGAGGGCAAGATTGGCCAGCACCCCTAGCTCTGCCTCAAGGCCATAAGCACCCCTCTTGGTGGACAGCTCCTGTAAGTCCCACTGTGTCCCCACCTACAAGAGAAACAGTAACTTGGGGGTAGAGAGCACAGACCCTGCAGCCAGGCCCCCATAATGTCTTCTTCCTGGGCTGCTCTGTGTGGCCTGAAGCAAGTCATCTTTGTCCTCAGTTTCCTCATCTGCAGAATGGGCCCTCTGACAGGCTGCACCTCACAGGATCATTTAATATAGATAAGCCCCTTGGAACCAGCCTGGGCCCTGCTGAGCTTAGCTGTTGGTTAGGGGAGGTGAGTTCCCTCCCTGTGGAAAGCCAGGCGGGGTTCCTGGAGCCCCACCCAGCCGGTTTCAGCTTCTACCTCAGGGGGAAGTCTCAGCAGGACTCTGCCCCCTGGTTAGAACTGGGACTGGAGCTAGGACTCTCAGTGGGACCCTGAGGCCCAGGGGATAGGCCACCAGCTGGATGAAGCGGCTCCCTAAGCCCTCCAGGCACCTGTAGGGCGCTCAGGGGTTAAGGGCCCTCTCCACGCCTCTCTCTTCTTGTTAACGCTGCCTTATTTCACAGCTGACTGCTCCTGTGGAAATTGGAATAAGGATGAACTCCAAGCAGCTGGAAAAGTACCGGGCCGCCTTGGAAGGGCTGCTGAGTGAGGCGCTGCCCGGTAAGGGTGGGCGGCGGGCGGAGCGCAGCAGGGTCTCCGCGGCTCCCTGCGCCCACCCTGGGGGTCTATTGCAGCAGGCATCCCCCCCTCCCCAGCAGGGTTTGAGGACAGCTTGTTTGTTTTTCTGCTTCGCACTTGAGAACGGAGCTGCCTTCTCCTCCTGGGGCACAGCCCCATCTCAGAGGGAAGGACACTCAATCACAGGGCGGGCTGATGGCTGCTGGTGGCCAAGTGGCCCCATCCTCCAGCTCAGGGGCCGTCTCAAGCCCTGGCCTCCAAGGCTCAGGCCGGTTCCAGACGTCCTCTGGCAGAGGGCCACGACAAATCAACCCCGGGGCCTCCCGGCTCCAGATATTCTCATTTCTTCCCAAGCACCACCGAGGCCGGGAGGCTGCTGCAAGGGGAACTCTGGATCAGCTTTTCCTTTTTTTTAATCTGTTCTGCAAATCGAAGTCCTGCGCCCCATTTGGCCTTGCCGATTCAAGCTCTGCCCGAGATACTTGTGCAAAGCTAGATCTTGTCTGACAAACAGCCACTAATTACTTCTTCTAGTCCAGGAGGAGAGGCGAGAGACTCGAGGAAGTGGTGTTACAGAGGGAGAAACCCAGAGGTTAAATGATTTGCCCCAGGCTAGAGAGAGCTTCCAGTGCCTTCCAAAACGCCCATCCCTCGCCCCCAGTGCCCTGCTCCCCCGACCTGCAGCAGGTTTTAGAAGGCATTCTGCGGACTCTACAGAGCAGCAATCCTGTACTTTTCCCCAGCAGCCAAATGACGCTCCTAGGAGAAAGGTGGACCCTCCCAGGAAGCCCTACACACCTGGATGAGCCGAAAATCCTGCCCCACCCACAGCTGGCCTCTGAAGCCAAGGGCCCTCTCCAAAGCAGATCCCTCGCCAGCAAATAAAGCATGAAATACACAGAGATGACTCCTTTATTTAATATTCTAATTTCCAAAGGGCAAACTCAGGTCATGAGGCAAAGTGAAGGGGGCTGAGGAACTGGCCATAAATGGTGCATACATTAGCAAAATGTGTGCCTTTTGTAAGTATCAAGCTCAAATATTAACTCGGGTTGGTGGAATGGGAGGATCTGTCTGGCCCTTCCATTATGGGCAAGGAAACTGAAGCCCAGAGAGATGGCAAAGCAAGGGCTAGAATCCAGGTCTCTTGAATCTTGGTCTTTTTTCTGTGTACTGACAAGCTGAAGGTCTGATGGGCCTGAGGATTTCAGGGCCTCTGCATCAACCCCGTGCTGAGTAACTTCCAACCAGCCCTTTAACCTCAATGAGCCTTTGCAAAAGCAAGGTGGTAATATCTGCCTTGAGATCTGGGGACCGAGGCACCAGCAAAGAACAAATTACTATTATTATTATCACCTTGTGACTACATACTCCAGCATCCGCAGCAAAATTGCACAGCCAACCCACTTATTTCTGCCTTCTAAACAAAACTGGATGGGAAATTTCATTCTAATTTAATTTTACATTAATGAATGTTCATTTATTTATAAACTGGGGCCCTACAGGAATCGCAGCTCCCTCCACCCATAGGTTACCAGCAACTAGACGCAGTGTCCACTCTGTATTGCCACCTCACCACCCGCCACGAGCAAGGGCTCAGCCACAGATGATGGTCACCAGGGCAAGAAGACTCCGACTTTCCAAAAGGGCCCATGTTTGGGTATTCTGACTTCTCCTGAGGAACACCCAAGCCTTCCATGGGACCCAGGCCCTGCCCTACTTTGTGTTTCCACACATTTCTGTCACACATCCTAATCAACCTCAGAGCAGCTGCAATTTCCCAGGAAATGCTGCCAAAATCTGGTACTGAATGGAGAGGGCTGCTGCAGGGGCATGCTGCAGGGGAAGGCAGAGCAGGACAGGAATCCCCACCGCACACCCTGGGAGGAGCTGCATCCGGGACTGGTCCTCGCCCTACAGAGTTTCCCCCATGTCAGTTCACCCAATTATTTGTAACATCCTCCAAGAAGCAGGAAAACAAGAGGTTCAGGTCTCTCCAGGAAAAAAAAAAAAACAAACAAACAAACAAAAAAAACCAGTGCATGTTCTTCCCTCGACCTATGCTGCAATCTGCCCCTCCACCAGCAGGAGGTGCTCCTTCCTACCCCACCCTATACCATTTGGGGAATTTTCCCTAAGATGGGGGGCAGGGGTTGGAGAACAGCACTGAAACCCACACCAGGGAAGGAAATGGGACCTCTAGGCAATGTCACCCCAGGCGATCTAGTTTTGAAATGGGAATTGGTTCTGCAAGCATAGCACCTGGGCAGGGCCCTGTGTGTTCCTGTAGAAAAGCCCTGTTCAGCACTGCAGCCTGGCTGTCCGTGACCCTCACCCTGGGGCCTCTGATGTGTTTCTCAGTAATGAGTCACAGCAGGGACCCAGCCACCACCTACATCTGTATGCACAGTGCCCCTGCGGCCTGCTTAGAAGTGGCGGCTCCTTTCTTCCCTCGTTTTCCTCCTCCTGCCACTCTTCGATTTCTCAAAAACAGCGCAAATAATTCTTCTTTGCCAACAAGCTCCTCCAGGTTCCAGGGCAGCAGACTCGATTGCTTAGGGGACATGCGCAGCCCTGGAAGAAATGAAAATCGGAGGGAGGTGGGGGAGGAATCGGTAAGCTGAGCCAAGAGAAAAAGACCATGTTGTCACAAAACAAGAAAAGAGATGACACTCCTGGTTAAAGATTTTGAATGTGTCAAACAGAAACCAGTCAGAGTCGGAGATGGGAGGGTGCCCAGGACAACCTGGAGACCAGGGGACCATCCCTGATGCGGACTCCCAAAGGTGTATCCAGCACAATCTGCAAGAACCTCTGTGGTTAACAGGTACATTAGCCTGCGTGGTCTGGAATGTTCTTTACACTTAACCGGACCACGGGTAATTACCAAGCAACCTGAACCTGGCTTCACAAGATGGAGATGATGAAGTATTTTCTCGGTAACCGCTTCAGTGTGATTTCATAATTACCCAGCTACGTGGATTTGCCATGAAATTGAATAGTTAAAAGCAAAGAGTAATTGCCTGATATCTGTACTCTGTAATTTAGTATAATCTAATCATGGACAAAGCCCAAAAGAAAACACTCTGAAAGCGTTACATTTTTCTCCACACACCATTTATTATTGACATCGGCTAATGTATTCCATGCGTCTAAAGGAACTCTAACCCACGCATACCAAAGTGTAATCGTGGCCAAAAGGGTCAGTGTTTTATTTCGTTTCCATCAGATTATGAAAAGCAGGTGGCACAAGTGTCCACCAAACCTGTTCTGGTATTTTCCTGAGACTATTCATCCCCTTCACTGACACATCCCCAGACCTGGAGAGAACATGGTGGCTTCCTCTTGCACAAAGCAGACACAAGGAGGCAAGAAGTTGGGAGCTCCACAGGTCATCCCAGTCCAAATCTAAGCCACAAATGGCTTCTTCTTCTTTTTTTTTTTTTTGTCAGCACTGGGGGTTGACCCCAGGGGCATTTTCTGCTGAGCTACATCCCCAGCCCTTTTTGGGACAGAGTCTCACTAAATTCCCAAGGGCCTCACTAAATTGCCCAGGCTGCCCTCAAACGGCAATCCTCCTGCCTCAGCCTCCCCAGTGGCTGGGATCACAGGCCTGTGCCACTACACCTGGCTTACACTCACTCCCCATCCCTCAGTGTGATGCCACCTGCAAAGCGGTTGAGAGGAAGCCTAGAATAGCTAAGGACCCCGGGTTGGGGCTGGGGCTCAGTGGTAGAGCGCTTGCCTAGCTCGTGGGAGGCCCTGGGTTTGATCCTCAGCACCACATAAAAATTAATAAATAAAATAAAGCTATTGTGCCCAACTACTTCTTAAAAAAAAATAGCTAAGGACCTCAACGAGGTGGATCAAGGACGAGTCCACAGTCGGAGAGCATCTTAGAGGATCTGATAAATGTGTGCAGGGCTTTTTGCAGGAAGAGGAGAATGGAACCCACTAAAAGATTTATGGCCATTATTATTAGTATAAGGCTCCGCAGAGACAGAGAGGCCAGCAGGAAGGCAGGCGGTGTGGTGGCCCTCCAGGAATCCAGAGGGTGCTCTGAGCAGCCCTCGCCTCTGCTAAATGTGTGGATGTGGTTACTAAGTAGCTGTAGACACTGCAGCCTCTTTTTCCTCTTTTGCCTTTAATAAATCAGAAGACTGACAGCAGCCTGAGCCACTCACCTTTACCAAACTCCCACTAACGATGAGAAAGGAGGGCGCAGCCATGAACTTTTACAGTGTTTTCCTTTTCTTTAGAATATGCTTTCCCTCATCTGACAGGCCCCTGGGAGAGCCAGGTGGACAGCGGTGGCTGAGGAGCCCTGAGGCCAAGCCCATCCCAGGGACAGCATGTGGAAGGTTCTGCAGGGCAAAATAAAGAACAGGCAAACCAACCCCATTAAAATGGGTAAAAGGGTGCCTTGGGGGTGAAAAATGTCAATGGAGGACAGAGGAGGCCACAGAATTCCAGGAAAGGGGCAGGGCCAGAGCTGGGAGCTCGGAAGGCAAGCGGAAAGGCGGAGCCCTGGGAGGCAGTGGGTTACCACAAGGTTTCTCTCAGAGCTGGTGAAGAGGGGTGCTGCCGGGCACCCACTGTTAAGAAGTTGGGAGCCTGGGAGCCTGTGGATGCTCCATACCAAGGCCTGTTAGACCCAGAAGCCACCGTGGGGGCCATGGGTGGACCTGGGTGGCTGGAGACCACCACTACAAACATGCTGGGTTCCAGGCCAGAGGAAAGTCGACAAGATGTGGGGGAAGAGCTGTGGGCCATTTGGCCATAGGTGTGTATAAAAGTGGCAGCAGCATCTCTGGATACAAAGAAGATCAACAAAGCCCCCACTGTGTCCCACTACTGGGGTGGCTCCCATCAGTCTACATTTTTAAAGCGCCCTGAGATCCATTGTGATGGAACAGACCATAACTCTGAAACACTGCAACGTTCACTTTGTTTAAGCATCAGTTTCAAGCCCTCTCAGAACACACAGGGCCAGTATTGATGCCGAAAGGCTCATTCTTTATATATTGAACTGCACAGCTGCAAGGAGTAGCACAAATGTTACCAACTCATTTGTCATGCAAACAGTGCTTCAGAAAGAAATAAAATACTATTATGTGGTATATGTGTTAGGCAATCACTATATCAAATCCATGGCATTCCGTGCAAACACAGGCAGAGAAAAGGAAAACAACACTTGGTGAGAGAAATCGCACCACATGGGAGCAGCTAAGTCGGGGAGATGGGGAGGCTAACAACGGAAGCCTGACCGTGCAGAGGCTGTAATTTTCCCAGCAACGTGGCCAGTGTTGAATACCCCTGAGGTACAGCAAGTGGCAGGAATGCAAAACCCTCACAGAGGAGCATGGCCCAGGGTCCCAGGGAGGGAATGGATTGATGTAGGTCTGCTGGGTAAAGCTGCAAGGAGATACCAGGGAGGGGGGCTGGGGAAGGCAAGAACTAATGGGAGGGCTGGAAACACTAAGCGCGCAATAAATGCTGGGAAAGGGAGCTGATGAAGGATGTGGAAGGAATATGAAGTGAGCAAGGGAGGGTGGGTAAGACAATGAACTATAGCTCTACTTCCATTGCCATCACTTCCCATGCTTCCCTTAGGGGCTTCCTGCTAAGGGCCTTCTTGTAACCAAATCGCCTGCCCTGTGGGAGGGTCTACACAGCACTGGCAGGGAAGATTTGGGTTAAATATAAACAAGTAAGAGAGTGTGCCAGGCACTGTCCTAAGCACCTTACACAAATTATTTCTTCTAATCCTTAAATAGCAACCCTATAAGGTTTATTGGCAAACAGGCTAGAAATGTTAATTGGATATGATCACATATCTAATAGTTGTAGAGTTGGGATT